CAGCTAGGGATTTCAGCTAGGCCGCCTTACATCACTCAAAATAAGTAATTTTATTAATGAAAAGCATTCACGTAAATGTTAAGTTCTATTTTGCCATTCTCTCTGCTGGAGCTATGAAGAAGAAGTGTCAAAACCATTCTGCAAAAATTGATTTTGCAACCCTTCCTATTTCTGACCAAATAAACAGAAAACTGACCAGTTAGGCCTGAAAAGAATACGCACAACTTACAGCCAACTCTTAATCAGCATGAGCTGTAACAATGGCCTAAATCACCACATAGGTTTTTAATGTGAAACTACGAAGCAAAAGTTTCCTGGTCAACTTTTAGCCCTTTGCTTTACCCTGTGCAAAGTCATTTCTGGGGTACCCTGTGACTCGAGCCGGACACGGACATGAGCCACTGTTGACCCCGTTCGTCACAACTGTTAGTACAGTTAGCGAGAACTGCAGAGCAATTACCAGCGCATGAAAACTGCTGCAACTCCGCTGAAGTAATTCATATCATAATTCATGTTGCCTGAGGAGGCTTCAGTAAATTATACGTAAGCTGGTGCGAACTAAAAGCGTATGATAGTTTAAAAGAATAGAACTTGGAAATTTTGCAAGTTTTCATTAATACGCTATTTTTCTTTGACCAAAATGCGCATACTGCAGAATCTCAGAAAAAAGTGAGAGTCCCCCAGAAAGAAGCCCAAAGGTCTAATTCCTTTGTTTCCTTCTAAAACCTAACTAACAACAACTATCAACAGTAACATGCAAGACAAACTGTGATTTCAAAGAAGTGAAACGGCACCATCTAGTGACTAACGATCAGAAAACGCAGTCAGGGACGTTGTTACTTCTTTTACTCCCCCACAACACCCGGCATTCAAATTTGGAAACAATAGTAAAAGGAAATGTAAAAATAAACATGAATTCTGGAACACTTATTACGGACAAAGGAATTGAAAGCCAAGTATTAACTCAAAGGGTTATTTTTCTACAAAACTATGTATTTGTAGTTTTTAGTAGTTTATAACGTTTTAGGAGGCATATGCAGCATAAATGTAATAGCCACTGTGCACACTACTGACCCAAACGTCTTCCCAGGAAAGCCAAACGCTTTTTAAGCTGTGGCAACAACAGCTAGTTACGAAGTTATCTAGCAATTAATGTTAACATATAGAGGAGTCAAAATTTATTAATAAAAACTGGGTAACTTTGGATGCATCTAACTCATCACTGATACAATCACTTTTGCACAGGCACCGTGGTCCTGTGTATGTTCACCGATTCGCGTTTCCAGCACACTGCTTAAAAGCTGCCAGCGGAAAAAATTTCTAAGCTGTTTTTTATAGAGCCAGACATCACTGATTCTGTATACGTTGCGTACTTTTTATGGAGTCTTCAAGGAACTCATCCACAAGCAAAGCACAGACAAAAAAAGAGTGTCTGCTACTCTTTATATTCTTTCTCCTCTGCGTTTTTCTTAAACAAATGTACTGAAAGAAACTCAAAGCTTAGTTACCTGATGTGACTGAATTGCTTTTTTCTCAAAGTCATATGCCCGCTGGGGTACTATCAAAGAAGGTTTTTCCTTTAGAAATTGCTGTACAAAAAGAGAAAGAGTGAAGGAGGTTGTGCAGTGGAGATTTTTATAACCTTCAGGAATTTTTCACTAATGTTTTCTGCCTTGTTCTTTGCATTTATTAAATACGCACAAAAAGCAAAGAACAGTTTTTTGCTTGGCAAGCAAAATTAAGTCTCTAGCAACTACAAAAACAAAAATGTAAAAAGTGGGACAGGTTAAAGTTACAGCATCAGAGAACTATCCATTTTTGCATATTGAGAGAGCAAACCTTGTGAAAAACATTACAGTGTTCCTGCAGCTCTGTTCAGCGTCTCACTTTTTCCTGCTTCCAAGGGTAATAGATGATTCTATAGCAGGCCAAGGAATACTAACTATTTCTAACAAAAAGAAAGATAAATAAGACAAACTGTATATTATAACAAAAGGATGTCTTTTTCTTAGCTCATTGTCAGCTAAAGATGCACTCCAATTTGACAGTCATGGACTAAAAGAGCAAATGTTTCTGGTCACAAAAATAGTAAGATAAGGAAAAGACAGATGGTAAAAAGCTCTGGTTTATGTTAGAGTATTCTCAGATGCTAAAAATTTATACGAATACCCTGAAGGAAAAGGCATGTAAATAGCTACAAGACAGTACGTGCACAAATTTGCCTTTTTGAGGACAAGATGTCATCATAATTTTTCTTTAAATTGAGTTGCACTAAGCCTTTGACAAACTAATGCTTACCTACTCAATTAGTTATATAATTACAGAGAGATGCATTAAACCCCTCCCTGAAATTAAAAGGATAAAAGATAACTTCTACCACTTAACGTCTAGTAATAAGGGATTCACTTGCAGTTAATTCTCTCACAGTTAAATGTTAGGACCCTGCATGCCTTGAGGCAAGAGTAGCGCAAGATTTCACATGAAAACTCAGGTTTGAACGAAATTCATCCTGGCCTGACTAAAGTTGGCATAAAAATTTCATAAGAATCCTAGAGTTAGATTTTTCTCAAATCTATATTTAAACTCATAAAAATGTCGGAGTGCAATCATCATCCCTCTAATAGCTTATACAACTAAAATACTATACATACATATACAAATATATATATATATAGATAACCTAAAGTTTTCCATGGACAATGCGTTGTTCCGTGCTAGTGCAATCATCATCCCTCTAATAGCTTATACAACTAAAATACTATACATACATATACAAATATATATATATATAGATAACCTAAAGTTTTCCATGCGTTGTTCCAGGAAGCGTGCTAGGTAGGGGCTCTCTAGGAAGATGACTTAATAAACACGGTCTCCGCTGAGTGATGCCACCTTACCCCAGGTGCACAGAGAAGGCAGGAGGTGCCGCGGAGCACGCCCAGGAATGTCCCCCGGGCCTGGCCCCAGTGACGCTCCACACACACCCCCAAAACCCGGGCCTGATGCTAGAAAGAGGAAACAAGCCAAAAAACGGACTAATCTCAGTAACTACTGCTTGAAACCTTTCCATAGGGCAGCAGAAACCTAAAACTCAGAGTCAAAACATATTGAGAGAGTGAACAATAAATATAATAAATAAAGATATTTATTGCTCGAGTCCAGAAATCATTAAGATTATAACATTTAACTCGCGTTAAATGAGAATTACATGATAAAGTAAGTATCAGAGAGCGCTAGATGCCTCAACGGCGCAGGCAATCTCAGGTCAGTCAAGTAAGCTGCTGCTTTTGCACTCGACCATATTCCCTCATCTGACATTTTATGCAGCAGTCACAAGACAATTGATCATGATATAAGAGGCTGCCATATGACACCGCAACCTGCTTCTCCAAAACCCACCAGAACTCCGTCAACTCCATTTGTGTTCTCACTCAGCCAGAATTTAAATAAAGGGGAAAAAACATTTTAAAAGGCCAAAGTAAATATTAGATTCTATATTCTTACGTAAAATGCAGTTTGGAAAGTTTAATAGCCTTTAATCAGTTTAATCTTTCTAGAAAGAGCTACGATGGCTTAAACTGAAGAAAACAGGCAAGCAGTAATAACAATAAACCATGAAAAAATCAAAATATATGATTGAAATGGAGTTTTCTCTAACTAAAACTCATTTGTAATGAAGAACCATAATAAATGCAATCCCAAGGGATTTTGTTTTACGTTGTCCTTCTTTCCCAGAGGTGGCCGTTATTACGGAAGATGTAAGTTCATGGGTTGATCCTTTTGTCAACCCGATCGGTTGCAGCTGATCTCCAATTTGCATCATAGACTCAGGTTTAAAAATTACAGTTCAAAAGTTGTATGCCTTGCCTTAGGGCTGCAACCATTGCATTTTCTGCTGTCAAACCCAACTCTTGAGAAAGGATGTTGCCGTGAGAGACCTGCTGATCTGGAAGATGGTTATCTCTCTGTCCAGTATGACTCCGTATTTAAGGAATCTCCAGCAAATGGGAGACATCATATGACCGACTTTAAAAGCCTGCGGTGGGCAAATCGGGATAGTTCCTGGGGCAGGAGAGAAACACCGCTCCAAAGACACCGCTCCTGAGCCCGTTTCTCTGCACTGGCACGTTAGGGCTACCACCAACTTGCACAAAAACAAACCACGCAAGGGAAGACAGCAGCAGAGACTTTGGATCAAAGAAGAAAAAGAAAAAAAAAAAAAAAGGCAGCTGTTATTCATTCTGTATTTCTCAAATTTCTAATAAGGATCTGCGTGAGGCAAACACACTGGTTAGGGAGCAGGCGAGCGGGCACCACGACAGAAACGCCTTCTAAAGAAGAGTGCTTTTCCCATGAAAAGAAACTGCTTTTTAATACTAAGAATAATTTGACTAGCAACGTCATCCCCGGGGCGGACAGGGGCAGGTTAGAGACCCCTACTTACCCGCGCGGCCCGACGGCCTGCGGGAAGAGGGCAGCCCAGCCCGGCTGCACCGCGCGTGGAGACGGCGCCGCTGCGCCGCCGAAGCCTCTAGAAA